TTTGTGGCCATGGCGGCTCTGGGGCTGGCCGTGCTTTGGGGTCAGTCTGTGCTCACATCCTTTGGCTGTGGGTCGGGGCACCATGACAGGGCTGGGAGCCAACGTGTCCCCAGCCGCTGACCATCTCCATCCCTCCGGCAGGACTCATCAGCCCCGAGGGGCTGGCAGTGGACCACTTGCGCCGAGCCATGTTCTGGACTGACAGCGGCTTGGATAAGATCGAGAGAGCCCGGCTGGACGGCTCCGAGCGGCGGGTGCTCTTCGACACGGAGCTCGTCAACCCCCGGGCCATCGCCGTGGACCCCGTCCGAGGGTGAGCAGCAGTGTTTTGGGAGAGATTCGCACGCAGGGCTCTGCAAGGTGCTGGCAGGACGGCACTTGCCAGATTTGCAGCTGGAGCCATGTTTTGGAGAAAGACGAGGGGGGCTGTTTGCCTCCAGCCGGGCGTGTGCGGTGGGACGAGGTAGGCCCCGCAGAGGAGGGTCAAGCACACAAAGCGGTGCCAAGGCCCCATCCTGACCTGGGAGCAGCTCTCCTGTGTTGCACACCCTGTAGGAGGGATTGGCTCTGTTCCCCCACCTCCTCTTTTCATTTAATAATTCAGGATTTGGCTAAACCTGCTGTTTCGGGTGTCAGGATGTGTATTATTTTTAAAAGCTTTGAAATGCACCTGGCGTTGGAGAGCACAAGCTGTGCCTCTGGGGGGCTGTTGCGATACAAAATGTGCTGCTCCTAAGACTCGCCCTCGTCTAGGAGCCGCAGTTTGGGTCATAAACATGTTTGACATGGTTCTGGTTTTCTTTTAGAGATTTTTTTTTTTCAAATCAAATGAAGATTTATTTCAGGCACTGTTAAGGGAAAAATCAGGCCTCCCTCCTGACAAGAACCAGTAACAAAGAGAAAGCCAATAATCTCCTACCACTCCTTACTGGTGTGTGGCCTGCCTGTTCATTGCATCATTATTTCCCAAGCAACCTTTACTGGACGGACTGGAATCGTGAAGCACCCAAAATCGAAACTTCCACTGTCAACGGAGCCAACAGGAGGGTCCTGGTGAACAAGGACATTGGGTTGCCCAACGGCCTGACATTCGACCCCTTCTCCAAGCTGCTCTGTTGGGCAGACGCAGGTAACTTCACCGAGGACGGATCGGGCTACCACACGCTAAGCCTGGAGGGGAAAACCAGCTATCTATGTCTTTAGCCCATTGCTACCTGCGATCCTCTTTACCCCCTTCCACTATCCTGCCCCAAAGGACTTGGCGTGGTGGGGTTGGGGGACTCAGAGCATGAGCTGCTTCTACATCCCCTAGGCTGAGAAGCTGTTGCAAAAATTAGTGAATACAAAGAACACATTTGGTGGTTTGGGGTTGGGGGTTTTTTTGTGGCCTGGTAACTGTCTTGTGTTTGAAAAGGAACGAAGCACCTGGAGTGCACATTCCCCGACGGCACGGGCCGGCGCGTGATACAGAACAACCTCAACTACCCCTTCAGCATCATCAGTTACGCCAATCACTTCTACCACACGGACTGGAGACGGTAAGGAAAGAAACCCTGCTCCCTCCCCTGGCTGGGAAGCGCTGAGCTCTGGAATGGGCTGCCCAGGGAGGTGGTCGAGTCCCCATCCCTGGAGGTATTTAAAAGAAGGGTAGATGAGGTGCTTAGGGCCAGGGTTTAGTGGTGGGATGGCAGGGTTAGGGGAACGGTTGGACTCGATGATCTCAAAGGTCTTTTCCAACCAAAGTGATTCTATGATTCCTAGCGGGGTCCTGTTAGCAAGCAGCTTGGAGCGGCTTTGAGCCAGAGGGGGAGAACCAAATGCTGTCCCCTGCCTCCTCCCTGGTCCCCAGTTCTGGAACCTCACCAGGGCGTGCGCTTAGGTCTCCTGCAGTGCCTCGTTCAGCAACACCCACTTGTAAATCTCAGCGCAGAATGGTTGTTTAGAAACAACCCCAGCTTCCTGGGAGGAACAGAAATAGCAGCTGTTGGCTTTTTTTTTTTTTTTAAATAAAAACTTGGCACAAGTTTCCAAATCTAGATTAAGTCAAAGAAAAGATTCTGTCCTCAGCCGTTCCCTCTCCCCTACCACCCAAGGCCCTCAGCATCAGGAACTCGCCTCTATTCCCACACCAGCTGGAAGCTCTCAAAACTTCAATCAAACCTTAGCAGATTACAACAAACACTTAAGTGCTTGCCATGCTTGGAGGAGACTCTCAGGGAGATAATCTCTCCTTGGAAGGCTGTCTCTGTGACTCTGCATCACCAAAGAGAAATGCGCTGGACATAGATTTTATGGGGCAAATTTCTTCCCACTTGTTCTGCGGGTGTTCAGACCAAGCTTTTCAGCTGCCTCCGTTCTTAAATGCCTATAAAGGGGGGGAGCAAACCTCACAAGTTTCACAGATGAGTAAAATGCTTCTCCCCCTTTTCTCACCAGGGATGGTGTGATAGCAATCGATAAAGAAACCGGCTCCTTTACCGACGAGTATCTTCCAGAGCAGCGATCACATCTCTATGGAATAACTGCAGTTTATCCCTACTGCCCTGGAGGTAAAACACAACCAAACCCACCCCCTTCCTGCTTGTCTGATGCCTGCTGTGTGCTTGCCACGCTAAAGGTACCCATTTCTCTCTGCAGCAAGGAAATAGTAACTGCTACTTCGAGAAACAGCAATCTTTGCACCCAAAAGAACTTCAGACCCAGAAAACCGTCACTGCATACAACTAAAGGGGGGGAAAAACCCTTAACTGAGGCCAATGAAGCAACCTACTTTCCTGCAAACGATTATCAAGTATTTTTGAAGTTATACCTCAGGTCTTTACTACTGTATTTTTTAAAAGTGAAAAACATTGATATATTACCAAAAATAAAAAATGGCCTTGTGACTCTTAGGCCATTACTCTTAACTCTTGCTTATGCAAGCAAATTTAAGATGTAGCTTACTCAAATGTTTTATTTAATTGGAAGAAGAATAGATGAATTTTTAATAGTTTTGATAATCTGACCAAGAGGCCCTTTTACCAAAAAAATAAGCATGTATGGGAAGGTTTGGATGCAGTATCTTGCTGGGTCTAAGTCATCGACAGCCCTGAAGACAGAGACTGTGTGTGCTCCAAAAGTGTGCAGAGCAGTTATGCGATATGGCAAAGGCATTGAAGTTTTTCCAGAAGACAATTCTGTATTTTCACCACTGCCTCAATGCACATCTTTTAGTATTTATATTAGAAGAATATGCTAGAATTGATCTGTTCATGCTTGTTGGTTCTTCTAAGTGCCTTCATAGACCAATACATGTTCAGAAATGCCATTTACATTGTAATGCTTCACTTTTTCTAGGTTACTTCAATAATTGAATAAAATGGTTGTTTTAAGTTTCCCCTTGGATTTAGTTTTTAAATATTTCAGCTGTAGGGTAGAGCATGCAGAAGCAGCAAGCAAGCAAGCCCAGAGCGGGCTGCTCCCATGGCAGGACCTCAGCAAAAGAGGAAGCTGCAGGGCCTTGATGTCCCTTCTCAGCACAAAGCCAAACACCATGAAAAAGAAAGAGTCCTATTTGCCAACTCAGAGCTAATCAGAACACTTTGTCTGTTTTCCCCGGCTTCATTTATTTAAAGAAAAATGATAATTCAGTAGAAGTCAGAATTCAATTTCCTGTTTTCTTTCAAAACAGTAAAATACCATTTCAAACTGCATGCCAGAGTTGTACATAGTTCCTAATTGTACTAAGTACACAAGAGACTAAAAGCTTTTATCTGTTCATCTCCCGACTTTCCCCAGTCTGTGGTCCGTCTTGGGATCAGCAATAATCGCCTGGACTGCTACAATTGCTTCATTAATTTTTGTTTGCAGCTCTCGGAGCTCCTCTATATGCAGCAGTCGGAGAATTTGCGCAGCTTCATTAAGAACAGCATCTGGGTGAGATGCAGAAAGAGAAGTCGTATCAAGCATTTTCATCTGACACGAGGGTCTTAAGAAAAGCTTAATTCAAGTCAACACTCTGCACTTCATTCACGCTTGTGGTTTTTGTACTTGAAAGAGGGAACAGCTTTCCCTGCTGCTAGAGAGGGACAGGGTGCTCTGCAAAACCTCACTCAGCTTCCTGCAGCCCTCGCAGGAATCTGCAGCCAAGTCGGGTCAGAATGAAGCATTCCGAGTAGTAATTTAGGTGTACGTGGGGCAAAAGCGAAGCCAGACTAATGGAGTCCCAGGTCTACAAAATAATCTATCAGGTCATGCCAACTTGTGCTGCATCTGATTAGATTTCAGGTAAATTATGCAGCTAAAAGATATGGAAGCAGCTCAGAGGTCCTCTGCTGGTGGAAGGAAGATTCACAAGACAGCAGTAATGAGATGCATTCCTTCCACTTGCAAACGTGGCTGCCATTAAAAGCTGTTATTTAAGCATTAGTCTGAAACAACACAGCTAAGATTTATGCTTTTCTGTTCCAAAACAAAATGCTCAGGAGCACTCGTAAATAACAAGCTGGGAGGGAGCAATTCTTTCCACAACAGGCTTTTTTCACTGTACACATTATCTACATATTTGACAGTAATAGACTTTGTCAAACATTGCTATTTAAAAGTAACATTAAGAGAACCACTTACCTCCTGTGTCAAAACCAAGAACGTGCTTTTCTAAAGCAACAGGCAAACCCTTTCAAAAGAAAAAGCATATTCAAATACAATTAGAAACATCACTTTGCATGTTTGGAAAATAAAATCAAGTACTACAGCAGGTAACTCTGGAGGAGAGGACACTTGAGTTGTGCTTATACAGACACGTGTGACAACTTTGAAAAGCCGTGTTTGAGGACACACAGGTGCCTTCGTGTCTTGAAACAGCAAACCCAGCATATTAATAAAGAAGAAATCCTCATGCTTGATAATCCCCCTCCTTGTCAAGCAAACCCCATTGCATACGCCCTGCCCACATTCAATCCTTAAAAGGCTAACAACAGTGCTGCGAGAGAACACCCAATCCAGCAACATCGCTGCCCAGACGAACAAAAACCACGCTCAAACCCGGCTTTCTTAGAAACTACTGCCTTTAAACAGCTGCCAGTTTTCAAAGCACTGGCTGGTTTGAAAGAGTTGTAAAAACTCTTTGTAATCAAGCGGGTTTCTCAAACACTAAACTGGCAACCTCCATCAAGTGTTTTCTCAAGTGTTAAGCTTAGGAATAAAGCTAAACATTCAATTTTCTAAACACTTGCTCTTATTAAGACAGCACAAGGAAAAGTTCTATTAGTGGTCATTTATAAGCATTGCTCTCTTTGCCCTCTCCAGTTGTGGAGGAGTGGTCACACTCAACACTCACACGCCATGTTTCAACATGCACATAAAATTAGATTTAAACAATGCAAATCTTAGGTATACTACACCTCTGTAACTCTCTTTAACATTTGCCTTGGCACATTTGCCAAATGCCTTGCATTTGGCACGACAAAAAGATTCGAGTTCAATACCACTCGTTTCCACAACAATGAGGTTGCAAACCTTCTAAACAGGGAGGATTTCTTGCAAAGGCTTTTATGTACATGTAAAAAAAAAATTCTGAGTTGATCAAAACACACACTAAATACAAAATGGTGACTATAACTCAGAGTTGCCCCATTTTTAAAAAGTGGTTCTTTTCCACGGCCTTACAACAGAACAGATGTTCAAGTGCAATCTGAAAAATACATCTCCATTGTTAAAATCTAACCCGCTTGTTGACAGGAATGCTACTAATGCCACTTCAAACTGATTCCAGCAGTATCAGACTTCATACATGTACTTTTTAAGAAATCAGGTTTATACTTAAGGCTGCAAAGACCTCACTGCCACTCCAGTGTGTTCTCAGAGCCACATGAGCAATGAAACACCGATTCGGTCAGTTCTTTGTGGATGAACTCGCCAGGGCCGTTCCAGGCACCTCCAACGCTGGACAAGCAAGCGGCACCTTCAGAGGTGGTCTTCTGAGACACCCTGGTAGCATGGCATTATTTACCCTGCCTTCCTCCCACTACCCCGTATGTTAGCTCCTTTTCGGCTGGTGGAAGCGGTCTTTGGCCTTTCCCAAACCCCACAGCCCGTAGTAGCGGTCTTGTAGCAGGCGCTGGGCTGTACAGGCACCCGCTGCTGCTACAACCACATACAAGCACATGCTCATTTCAACAGCAGCTTCAAACAGGGAGAGAATTGAAGAGCACCTTTCAGTCTGTAACTACACAGACTACTTCGTTTCACAGCCTCATTCCCCAAAACTTGAATTTAAAAATGCTGCACAAAACACTTTGAATGGGCCTGAGCACCGCAGCTCTCTCTCCTGTAACTGGAAATGTCAACAGTAAAACTAGATTGCATAGAAGGGGGAGGGAAAAAAGTTTCCAGACTTCATAATAGGGGGAAAATGTACTCACTTTATTGTGCTTTTTAAGCATGCCCCAGGTATAGCCTTCAGGGGTATCCTTACAGTGACCCTGAAGGGCATTTACTGTACTTGATCCTACCTAGGATACACTCATCAGGCAAGGGAAGCCCAGAAGTCTGCCGGTATCAATCTGAATCCTGTCTAGACACTGAGTACACTGAATTGCCAGCCATTCAAAATACACTACAAAACCAGAAGTGTCATGTCTTATCTTGAAAACCATACCTTGAAAACCCAACAAGATACATTTCATTTTATTTGGCACAAGCGCAGCAGCGTAAGTGTCCTCGGCATAGCCCTCATACATATCCTTCGTCAGGGAAGGTTTCTGTGTCCATTTTATCTTTTTCCCCACTCCCTCATGGTATCGCCAAGAATGCAACTCATGACTTTTTGTATATTAAATCGTCTGCCATCCAGCAGTCATACTCCTTCCAGGGTCAAGGCTCAATACACAAAGCGTCACTGGCTATTTTTGTGGCCATTAACAAGCCAGCCAAAAATCAGAGGCAGGGGTTTGTTTTTCCTCTCCTATCCTGCAACCCAGCCATCCGCTCTGCTTTTAAGGTATTTTCTTCATTCATCTGGTACATTATGACGTTGATGATCACTGCTGGCACAGATAAAGCTGTTTTCCTGCTTCTAATCCGCTGCCTTTTCTCCACCCCACTTGAAATTTAGCATTCCTAATGAGAATACGCTCCCAGTGCCATATACCGCATTCAGGTTGAAATGTTGCTGTGCACTAAGACCTGACCACACTTTGAAGACCCATCAAATATGAACAGTTCTTTGTCACCGCAAAAAAAGTCACTGTTCCTCAAAGAAGCTAGTTCTGCCAAACACACAGGAAATCCCATTTTGATCCCTGAATGTCAGCTGTGCAGCTATGTAAACAACAACTAAAAGCAGCTTCTTATTAACATTAGTTATAAAACCTAAATTGACTCCAGCGGTCTCAGCTGCTTTTGTATTTTCCTGCTCTTTTAACGGTTTTATGGATGTCCAGGACCAAAGCTTTGATTTATTGTTCCAATGCTTCTGGCAATTACTGCACTGCAAGGCAGAGCACCTGCGATTACCACTTAGCAAACCCCATAAGCGGTGTTATGATAATAAATAAAGCATGGACTGTTCTGAGCAGCTGCCAGAAGAGAGGAAGGGACTTGCGCTCTTTGACCAGATCCAGTCGCTTTAGCGGGGACTCTTCTAAACGTACACCTGCAGGGCAGGAGATGCTGCCTTCCCTGGCTGCGCCCGAGGCACAGCGCCGGCAGCTGCTGTGCCAAATGCCGGAGAGAAGAGCTGGAGAACTGGGATGTTTAAGAAATGCCAATCCAAAAAACCACAGCCATCCCCTGGAACATCTTACAGACAGCTTGTGGTTTAAAAAGAATTCTGCAACAGCTGAGTTTTAAGTGCAGAAGTTTCCTTCACCATTTCTCTTTTTAGGGAGGAGGGGAGGGGAGGTAGATGTCCAATATCCCGTTCCTTAAACACACACAAGGTGTACGTACGAAGCAAAACACTCCATACAAGGAATGTTTCAACCAGCTTATGTAGCCAACACTGTCAATTCCAAGGAAAAGCCAGGCCATGAATTTCTTCTCTGTAGGCTTGCTGTGCTGAACAGCAAGGGTAATCCTCTAGCAAATATGAGGATAGGAGAAGAGCTACGCGCGTGATCTATCATATGGGTACATATACTTGTAGTCAACTGAAGCAAAAAGAGCTTTGTATACTTTCCATAATCCTCTGGGTCTTTTAGAATCAGGATGGCGAAGATAAAGCAAGTTTCCACCACCCACCTAAGTGAAGTATTTAAACAGAACTGGTTTTGACTGAGTTGGCAGACATTTATGCCTACACTTATAATAATAATTCACACTAGGCTCATGCAGTGTATATACAAACCTCCTTGGACTGACTGGCCTTCGCTATGGCGTCCTGCGTCAAGCGCTCTTGAACCAAAATGCGAATGGCCTAGGAAAAACATTTAAAGGAGAAAGTAATTAATTTATGTCTTGAGGCATTTCTTGGCAATTCCAAGGGAAAAGGAGCCAACGTTATAACCTAGCGTAACTTCAAACCCACAGTTCTGTAAAAAACACTTTGAAAAACTGTCAAACCTTAAACCTTTTCAAATAGCACTATCCTTTGCAAGTAGCGTCTTACACAGGCGTAGTCTCTTTGGCTGTGGGAAGGCAGCTTAACCAGAAGAGACGAGGACATTACACTATTAATTTCAGCCACTACTGGGCCAGAAACTGCAAAATACTAGGAACAGTCAAGAAATGTTAATTTTCCTGAGATTGCATGCCTTTAATGCTGCAGCAGTGCAGCTTCTTCAGGCAGGAAACCCTGCTATTGGCATCTTTTAATAGGTGCTAAACCATCTTCCATGTGCAGAGAAGCCTGGAGCAAGGCTACCCACCCGGGTCTTAAAAAGACTGAGAACAGAAAGGAATTATTTTTAGACATGGGAAGAAGAACAGCCTTGATTTTAACAATCCTGCTGCTCATCTGTTTTTACCGGCTCCAGCACATAGCATGAAATCGTATCGGAGCTATCAGTTACTGATACCTACAGCTGTAAACACCTCTAAAAATAACTGAAGGAATACCATGCAGGCAGACTTCCACCAGAAAGAACTGGGTCTGTCAGACACATTTTTCAGACATCCCCTGATGAGTAGCCAAATGTGACAGAAGCAGTCTTACTGCTTCATGTTTCTCCCCCAAGATTTCTCCCAGGTTTGGTCATGATTAAAGTTGAGATCATGCTAGAAAGTTGCCACTGAATACTTCTAGAAATCTTTTTAACTGTAGGAAGCAGCCTGGACAAAAAGAGTGATTTGATGAGGAGTTTAACTTTAAATTCCAGCAGTGAAACCAGACCTTGCATAAGAGAATTTTGAGTGCCTTTTGCATTCGTAAAAGGACATCCAACTGTGTTATATAGATGCTTTCTGATCAACTTGCCAGAAGTTTAATTTAATAAAATGGGACTCCAAATACCTCTCTGCTCACTCTGGCCAAGGTCTGGCCAGATGTCTGTGGCATGCTCGCACCCTTTGGCCTTCCCTAAGCATCCATTTCAGAGTGTCCAAGCCTGCATAGGGACTGTAGCATCTCTGCACATTTACTGCAAGCCTGCTTATTGTGCCATAGAATTAAGAGTTTCACTGACACGTTGTAATACCATGAAACCCTGAAAACTAGCATTGCTGCTGTTCACAAAACTTGAAACGCCACTGCAGGAATCTGTTTTCACTGTAATTAAAAGCAAGAAAGGTCAGATCAGTGGTTTTGTCCAACCACCTCTGTCTGGCAAAAAAACAAAAAAAAAAAGAGGGAGACTAGAAATGTGGAAATAGTGATAGAAATGTAAATACGTTTATGCAGAAAACACATTCTGCTTTCTTTTTGAGTGGTTAGTACCAAATTAGGTGAGGTGAACCCACAGAAAGTTTGCTAGCCTTGAGCTAATCCTGTAAGATATCTTGAAGGAAAACTCTGCCTAATAAGGGCTGAGCTCAGGCTGCGGATCCTCAACATCACCATTCACAGGGTCTCTTCTCTACCCAATATCCCTTTTCACTGTTTTTTGTAGGGTTTGGGGTGGGGTTTTTTGGTAGGTGTTTGATATACGAGATCTCTACCACTCTTTAAAGACTGGTGAAGGGTTCAAAGGCTATTTTGGGGAGGCAAAGGAGGATACCATACCGGAGAGAATGAGAAAAGAATGAGAAAAGGGTTAATGGGATACCTGCAAGCTGTTAATTTCTTAGGAAACCAAGCCAACACAGTACTACTGTTCAAATACACCCATTATAGACTGACACACACTATATAAACTTTAATAGCCATGGCATTTAGTTTCGCCCAAATAAGTTTAGCAAATATCACAGCTACTGTAATGAATGGACTTTATTGGTTTTATTTCAGTGAAATGAGTTTATTTTGGTGCTAAACAAAACTAAGCTTAATTTCCATACTATGACACAATCAGTAGGAACTCAGGATTGCTGCAGTCTCAGTAAATAGAGTACCTAAAGAAAACAGTGCAGGTTCAACCCAAAATTCACAGGTAACTACAGAGTTCCACCACTAAGTCACAAATTTTCCTCAAAGTCATAAAAAAGCTGCTTTAGAAAATTAATTACCCTATTTACTGCATGTAGAAGCCATGATTAGTTGTCAAGACTAAATTAAACTGACTTCAGTAATGACAAGGAGTAAACAGTTCGTAGGACCGGAAGTCAGGAGGAGGTAGCTCTTCACTGTGGTTGTTTGTTTTAAACCATCCTTTGCATCACTTAGCCTCTACGTTTTTCAAGTTTCTCTTTTAAGTCCTAGCATTAGAATACAGTCTTCTCCTTTGAGCGTGTTCCTCAATATCTCTGAGGTTCATTAAAAACACATAAAGCACTACTTTGGTTAACCTGGACCACTTCAAACTCTGAACAACAGTCCTCAGTGTTGGAATTCCAGGAACTCAGCTACAATTGAACTGTTCACCAAGACAATTATCCTTGCATTAATTTCCATGATGAATATTGTGTTCTTATCTGCTTGAAAAGGCACATACAGGATGCGTTTTCCTTTCTATTTGTGACTAAAAAGTCATAGCTATCAGTAACTGTGTACCACAAGCTATATATTTACATACCAGCCAGTTGGGAAAAGGAGGAAGAAGGTCTGAAAACCATGAAACTCACCTTAAGCATTACCAAGTAATCATCATGTCGCTGAATTTGAAGCAGGTTAGCTAAAGCCATCACGCCAGCCTTGAAATCAGGATTATTCACTGTAAAAATAATCATCATCATTAAAAACATATGCTAGTTTAACTAGCTCCAAAAGACAGAATTGGCTTCCTGACTCCAGGGTATTGGACTGCTCTCAAGGATGGGCAAGACCACAGAAACACAGCAGTGAGCAACCACTTCAGTCTGGCTACGAAGCAATCAAAGCATGCACCAGGCTGCGTAACCAGGCTGCAGAACGCCATCCAAGCACAAACAGTGTTGTTGTCAATGCCAAACACATTGCATATGTCCTACTGCACAGGAAACCAGTGTTAAGTCTTTGAAAATAAAGCCAATTACACAAAGGTATTCTCTTTCATAAATCTTTCTATCGCTGCAGAGCAGAACTGTGCCTGCTGGGTGAAGGTAGGACCAATTCCTAGCTGTTTTGTTGTAGGAGCAATGGAAGAAGGCTTGGGGGATTTAGGGCTAATTTTAGTAGCCAATTTCCACCACTTCCATTTATTGTGAGTGTGCCTAGCAGTCAAAAAAATTTACAATGATTATGAGAGAGGTACAGCTGGGGAAGACTAAGCCAGCATGTAATACGTGACAGTACTGAAGTAAACAGTCCGCCATCATGTTTCCTTTGCTTTTTTTTTTTTTTTAAAGATACATTAGAGTCTGTAGTCAAAAGGTATCTTGCTATTTCACCCTAAGCCACAATAAGCACTCATGTTTCCTAGAGCTCTCTGCAAAGCCGTTAACATAAATACCCTTCTGCTGCCTTCTCATTGCCTGGCAAGAGCCCTCCCAGCTTACTCTTATCTGATCAAGTCTCTGGGCACCTCAATCTGCTGGGAAAGATTCTCCCCTCTGCCCTTCCCCTTTTTCCCCTAGCAGGAAAAGCTCTGCATCAAGCACACATCCAGACACCTGGGATTCACACAGACCAGTTCCTCTTTCCTTTAGTAGGAATGCAGACAAGTGCAAACAACTCAAAGTAACTCAAAATACTGTTTACAGAGGCAGTTTGAGCCAGCAGTAGAAGAATGTATGAACACTGCATTTCTAAAGCTTTAAACACGGCTTTAAAAAGTTATACGTATCATAGTACCATAACAACTTAAAATCCAAAGAACAACACCCAGGCCATGGAACACATTCAGGTACGATGAGGCCGTACAGTAGGATTGCTGCACACTTACCATCCAAGTTAATCAGCGGTTCTGCATTTTTTGCTGTATTGTCAGTATTTTTAGCGCCATCAGGGGTAGAATCCTTATATTTATCAGCTGTTAAATTAAGAAGAAAATATGAACAACATCAGAGCTAACAACAAAAGTAACTAGTTAAAAGTTTAGCACCAAGCTGTAGCTTGTGATAGCTGTACTTTTGGAGTGTGGTAATTGCCCAAGAGCCTTCTGGGCTTATATGCTGATGTTTTGGAGCTCCCTACTCAGGTCCCCAAAGGCTGCCGCTCTCATGAGCTACCCCAACAGCTCCCATCTGCATCAGAGCATGCTCCGCACTTATGTAGGGCATTATGCTCTTGATTAAGGCTCTTCCTACAGCTTTCATCCCAGAAGGCTGAAAAAGCTGCACCTTACAGTTCTACTACTTTTAAAATCCATCAATCCATCTAGCATTGGCCCCTTGCCTCAATCAGCAGCGCAGGCAGGGCTCAGGAGCTACAGACTGAAGTTGGTTCTGATCAGCGAGGAAAACATTTCCAGCGAAGGCTTTGCTGCAGCATTCATCTGCAGCACACACAGGGGATTTTCAAGCCTTTTGAGGATGGAACCTCCATCCTCATGCACCCCTGAGTCACAGGCAGCTTACTTTCTGCAGCACAAGGGACTGAGAACCAGCTCTACAGATTGCAAGTATTTATATCCCATCCTTGTCTTGGGCAGAGCTCAGCCCTGCAAGAATTATAGGTAACAGAAAGCAGTACTTTGGCTATTAGCATGTTTGCCACCACTAATTACATTTGTATCTGCACCCTCACTAGAAGGAAATGAAACTGCTGCTGACTGTTGAGATTTAATTTAACTTTTTCATAACCTTGCCCTAGTTCCCAAGGGTTCAGGATCTACTCCCTGTGAAACAAGGGTCTAAGAATAACTTATTTGAATAAATGTGACTAAAGAAAATGCATTTAATACACTTTAGAGTAATTTCTCACAAAGGCAATCCCACAGGGAGAAGGGTATAAATATATACAATGGGTTTTGCTATATCCAAAAATAAAGTAATAAACGCAAGAATGCTGCTGCACTGTCCCTCGGGAGCTGAAGAGAAGTAGTTCACATCTGAACATCACGCAAAACCAAGGAGATGAAGTTGTATATTTTTAAGAAAACAATATACACTTTTGACATTTTCTTAATTTGATAAATAGCTCATGAAAGTAAACAGAAAAACACATTTCCCTACCATTTTGAAATATTATATTTAATACCATATAAATGATATTTAATAATACCATACCATTATCTCCATACTCGAGCCTAACCGCCAAGCCGAGAAGCCAGTCTACCGTTTCCTGTCGCTCTTGTATTTTGAAAGGACAGTTTACATCTTTCATATACTGTGGAGTAGAAAGAGGAGAAAACAAATAGATGTTATTGACCTGTGTGCATTAGGTAGGAGCACAACACCGTTTTGTAAACAAGTCACTTTCCCACAGGCCTTACAGTTGTTAGAAGACAGTTATTAGCAAGGAGCATCATTGTGAAGTGTCCTGCTGTGGCATCTGATCCATCCGAGACGTTTTAGCGCACTCCAGTCCACCGCTAACTGGAGTCTGCCATTTAGTAATGGCACCTGCTTTTTAATGAATGTTATTCATTGCCAGACTGCAACCAGAGAAACCAAAATGCCCCTTCTTTGCTCTCTGTTCATTTTATACAGTAAGTGGAGGCATGGAAAGGAGAGAGAGCAAATTACAGCAAAAACTTCCCATCTAAAGCAGGAAGGAGGAACGATGCTACCTAAAGCTTTCACAATACTGACATCAGGGGATTCTGAGGGGCAGCAGAAATAATTTTCCCTTTCTCAGGGATTGTGTATGCAGAGGACAAAACACGGCCAGGACACTGTCTCTGCTCTTCTGAAGCCAGACCACAGGACCAAGCCCAACCTGCTGCCAAGACTCCCAAAGCCCAGGACACAGTCACGTTCTGCTGTGCCCCTTTGCTGAAGTGCCACACAGCCTCTACTCTGGCAGCAGCAGCACAGAGGGAAGGGGCACCAGGGGCTGGAGAGCACTGGCAGGAAGGGTTTCCCTGGCAGGCACGCAGAGAAGGGCAGTCTGGCCAAGCCAAGAAAGGTATCACTGATAGCACAACAGTACCTGCTGCCAGTAATTCTAATATCACGTACATTTATGCATGTGGTATTAGAATGCTTTGGGCTCCATCTTGCAAAGCACAAGCACTTGCGAAGTGCAAGCACCCCAATCCTCCTGGGCAGTGAGCACAGCAAGCAGTTCCCGGGGGGAACAAAAAGTGAGAAGAAAGGGCACTGAGCATTACAGAGCAGCATTTTCAGCTCCTCGCAGGGCTGTTTTGAGAGAAAGGAAATGGGAACCGAGAGGGAAAGCTCAACAGTGGTGACTCAAAATGCCCACAAGCGTGCGGGAGGTCACTCACAAAATGATGGCTGCTTGCCATGCTTGGTGCTAGCAGCAGAGAATCACCTGCCTGAAATAACAAGAGCTGCAGCAGCTTTCTGCCACACGCTTGGGAAGGCTATGAGTGCATTAGCCTCATCCATTTTCCTTTCAGTACATAAGAATCCTTAATGCAGAAAAAAAGGTGTTTACTTGTAGTCAATTTTCTTTCTACTTCAAGAGCTGAATCAAATCGGGCACAAAAAAGATTAGGATGGATACCACCCATTGCAAAACCACAGCTGAGTGAAAACTGCATATGAAAAGTTCTACCATCTTAAGTAACTCCTACAGTTTCAACAATACATTTAAATTCCCAGAAATGTAGAAGTTCAGACACAGGACAAATATTCAGAGTAATTTACATTCAACAACTACAGCAGCTATTAATCATCAATTACATACAACATCTTTATAATTTAAAATTGCATTTGAAACAACAAAAGACCTTTTCAAATGATTTGGGCCAGTCATCACTGTGTATGTTTCTTAAGTTCCCTCTGTCTTCAATCTTGTAGTGTCTGATTTTCTGGTCTTCAAGCCAGACAATAAAATTTCTGAATTCTGTTTCATCTGTCGGGAGAAGTAAACAAAGCAAGAATTAACCAATACCCTAAGGGCAAAACCAAGCCCTTAAGTTTTGACCCAATTCATATAAATACCGGTGCCCCGAGCGCTTTCATATTTCGTAGAAAGATATCTCTACACTAAAATCGTGTACTCCAGGATAACCGCTGACCAAAACTCAACACTGAGCATTTTTCATCTCTCAAAGTCACTTTAAATCAGCTACAGTGGATTGACTACACTAAAAGGCACCAAGCAACAGACTGGTTTTATTCAGAATATAGTTAAAACTGATTAAATGAAGGAGGAAAGGCGCAATGATGATAGAGAAATTCAGTTCCTAACCCTGTTACGTGGACAAACATGTTACATGCAGCAGTAACCCCCTCTCTCTTCCAAAAAGCACCACACACAACTCGTGACTGCACAAAAACATTTTCTTCCTTCACTGTTGACTCAACTTTTCTTGGTTGTTGACCCAACATCTCATTATTTGGGAGCTGGAATTCCACAATAAAAGGCTGTGGGCCAAACAAAGATATTTGTACCAGATGAAGCAATTAGCCTGCACCTGCACTTCAGTGACAGAGGAGATCACAGCTCTGGGGTATCGCTGGTCCCTCAAAACCTGGCTGTGATATTTTAGCATTGGATGAGCTTTAACATCCTGAGTTAGAGTTTAATATCCTCCTGCATCTCAGAGCCGGGTAAGCACACCATTTTCCCTGTCAGGGACAAAAATGATAGGTTTGCTTCTCAAAAGCATCTTTTAAGCGATGTAAGTGCCCTACTTCTATCAAATGCGTTGTAAGAAAGAGAGACGTGGTCAAAACACGTGACAAAAACTTTCAGTAAGATCTTTTAGAATGTCTACATTGACAAAATGAACCTTAGAGGAAAACTGCGTTGTAAGAAAGAGAGACGTGGTCAAAACACATGTGTCGAAAACTTTCAGTAAGATCTTTTAGAACGTCTACATTGACAAAATGAACCTTAGAGGAAAAAAAAAAGAAGGGCTGTTAATGATAAGGAACTTAAGGCCCAGAACAAAAGAAGATGTCAGTAGACCACGTCTACTGAAAGAGAAACGTGTCTACCAGAAGCACCGAAGGAAAGGCAACTTATTAAAGAGATGACCTGAAGCTTATAACTATCACACTGGATAAATACATTTGTCACGGCATCCTTTCAAGCAAGAAAGAAGTGCTGCAAAATAAAAACTCAATTAAGCATCAAAGTATTGATACGCATTGGCACGTGGCAAACCTGACCTAACCGTGTCTCTACACCACCCTCCTTCGCCACACCGCCGCCTCGCTTCGTGCGGAGGATCACACCAGGCTCCAGGGCTAAAGGTAGATTACTGCAGCCAGTGAGGGCGTTTTTGGCAGCACGCGTGGCTCCTGTCCCTCGCACCGGGTAAGCCAAAGCCCGTTGCAGGAGGAGGCCAAGAACCGCAGCGGCGTTGCCCACCCCTGCGGCATTGCCTCCACTTTCCTTCTTGCTTCCAGCCAAGGCCCAAAGAGGCCCCAAAACCGAGCAAAACGAACACAACCTCTGCAATCCCCGGGGGTCCCGGGGGAAAGGGGGGATTTCCCCCAAATACTGGGCTCCACCTAAAACTTTTGAGCCCAGCAGACCCTCCCGGCCTTAACCTCCCCTCCTCGGCCCGCCCCGCCCGGGGGACACCGCGGGGGTGAGAGCGGGCGAGCCAAGGCCCAAAGAGGCCCCAAAACCGAGCAAAACGAACACAACCTCTGCAATCCCCGGGGGTCCCGGGGGAAAGGGGGGATTTCCCCCAAATACTGGGCTCCACCTAAAACTTTTGAGCCCAGCAGACCCTCCCGGCCTTAACCTCCCCTCCTCGGCCCGCCCCGCCCGGGGGACACCGCGGGGGTGAGAGCGGGCGGGTGTCCGAAGCGCTGAGGCGAGGGGATGGCAACGGGAAGGCCGAGCTTCGGCGAGGGGCCCGGGGGTAGGCGGGAACGGGACACAAGGCCGCCGGTGCCTGAGGAGAGCGGGCGGGAAGCGGGGGGGAAGTCGCCGCGCAGCGGCCCCGCGGAGGCCCG